TTTTGACTCCAGAACTGCTCTTCAACGGACAGCGCATGACGTAACTCCGCTTGCGCCTTGTGGAGTTCAGCTGTGCCTCCTCTGACCCATCGTGATCCATGGCCTCCTTGCCTGTTGAACCGCCGCCTCCGCACCCCGAACAGCATCAAACACATTGCCAAAACAATGCTTGTTCCAGTGCTGAATAGCTCTCCTGGCTGCCAACAATTTAGAGCACAATACCCGCAGTGGAGAGCCACTCACTTCTTGATCCCAAGCACTACGAATCACCTCCAAAAGTTGTGGTTTGGACGTCCAAACATTCAGGAAGCGAAAGGCCGTGGTTTATCATCCAAGCGTGAGGTAAACGAAATCTTCAGTGGTGCATGGTCTGAAGGGTGCCTCGCCAAATGCACTACAGAAATCGAGGTGGACAAGTTCAAACAATCCCCATTAATTAAAAACCTATCCAGCCGCTTCGAGACTCTAGCCCTGCCTCTCCTATTATTACACCATGTAAAGCTAGCTCCCGAAAAACCCACATCAAAAACTCCAGCCTCTTCCATGAAAGACAGAAGCTCTACCCTTCAGCTACACCAAATGGCCCCCCCCCTTTCTCATGGGTGCCAGAATGGTATTAAAATCTCCCCCAATGCACCAGGGAGACGAGCTAGGTTTATCAGCTAAAAGGTTTAGCCATAAGTCCCTACGCTCATCCCTAGAGCATTTTGCATGAACGAAGGACATTGTGACTGAACTAGGCAAAAACGGATGTTGAACAGCCAAAGAGATATGTTGATCAGAATTCCCCACAAACATACAAAGGGACTACTATATAGAAAACCAAAGATCCTCCGATCGATTCACAAGCACACAATCAAAAGACAATTTTAGACGAATGGACACAATTTTAGACACATCTAGCTTAGGTTCACAGATCACCACAAACCTAGCCTGATGCAATCTTACTAACTTAATCAATCTACTAAGTTAGGGGTTTTAGCCACCTCTCTAATATTCAAAAAATGCCGTTAATCATGAGACAGAACCTGAAAAGAGTTTTGGGAGGATGTCGCCGACCGTAGCTGTCTTACAGAGGGAAGCCGGGCCCGCACACCTTTCCCTCGTGCTTGTCTAAATCCATGCTCCACCGCCACAGATTGATCAACGTTCAACTGCACCACCAACGACTCCAGCGGTAGCTCCTGACTCCCTACTAACCTTGGTGACAAATTTCCCGCAGTGGTAGGCAGCTCCATCTCACCGCAATTCTGTTCCCCATGCGCCAAAGCTTCCTCCACATTCAATGTGGCACATGCTCTCCAAATCCCTGTCGTGGAGAAGACACTTCTGCCCCTCAGCTTGGGTGATGCCCAGCCCCCAAGATAGCCCTGAGAGGATTTGCTGCTCCTCCTAACGGGCCCATCTGTTGTTGCAGCAACCCCTTCTTCCCGCCCTTCCAAAACTCCCTCCACCCCCTCACAATCTGCCACACGACCAATGCCTTCGCAGGTCACACCGACGCAATGCCCCTTCACCCTAGCCGCTACAATGTCCATTGCGCAACTCCTAGACGCACTGCCCTGCTGAGGTGCGGCTTCTGCAACAGCCCACACCAGGCCCAAGAGGCTGGTTCCCCTCTGCTGCAGCTGGTGCTCCACAGCCGCCTGCATGGCTTCAGTGTCCTTAGCCAGGATAGTCCTTCGCACCTGGCCAACCACCTACTGGTCCTGCCTTCTCGCGATTCGATTTTGCTGGTGCCGAGCTGCGAACTCAGAAGAATTCCTCTTGCACTATTCATTGGAGTAACCCACTCGCCAGCAGGAAGAGCAATACGCCGGCAAATCCGTGACAATGCTCTGCCAGAATCCTTTCTCTCCTTCGACGGCCACCCAAATCCTCTGAGCAACTGGCTTGGCAACATCAATTTCCACGCACACCCTAGCCACACTCGATCGGGTGCGGTAGCCGTTGCCGCATCCAAGAAGAGAGGCCTGCTGATGGGAGAAAGAATTGAGAACAATGAGTGCTTGTCAAAATAATGAACCGGTAGAGCTGGTAGAGCCACCCAAGTCGGAACCAGGGAAGACTCCTTGTGCACATGAAACTCCCTTGTCCACCGGAAGACGTGCATCGGAAACTTTCCTAACTGCCGAATACCTCTTGTCCAGATCCTATTGAAGTCTACCTCCGCTGCACATTTGATCAACACATGCCTGTAGTCCATCAGCCCAACAGAGACATGATCCCTCAAATTCAATGTCGCAAAGAACTTCCGAACCTCCTCTAAAGCAGGCCGACCATGCGAAAATTTTCCAACAAGAGCCCAGCGAAACGGCGCGGCAAGTCTATCTGCATCTTCTTTGTAGAATACCACCGCAGCTTCACCTTTATATACCGTCGCAGGCCGAATCTGAATGGGGGATGTAGCAGGCTGTGAAAATAATTGAGAGAAGGATTTCTTTGCTGAGGGAGAAGCCCCATGCCCCTCAGCCGCAGGCTGAAGGGTAGCCATGAAAACCTAATGCACCGACTCTATGAGAAACCCTAGCAGTTCGCCGAGAGAGAATCCAGTAGCAAAATCATGGGTTACCACATATATATATATATATGCTAACAATTATTATCTTCTCTTGCAGTAATATACTTTTTCTAATTAATCTTACTTTCTAAAAAATCTAACATTTGAGGTACATCTTATCCAGTATCCAATAGACAAACTGTTATGTTAATTGTACAATTTGGATTTTGGATTTTATTTTTGGAAAGGTAATCCTGGATAGAATAATATACAGAGCAAAATACACTTTGCTCCCCTTTGATTTAGCAATTTTTCACATACCTCCCCTATAGTTTTAGAAACCATATATAATCCCCTTCATTGTTTGGATTAAATTGTTAAAGTGACGGAAATGATCATTTGTAATAAAACCTATGAAAATATTGAAATTAACCTTATTTAAAAACTAAAATGGTTGAAGTGATTAAAATATATAAACACAATATGTATGACGCTCTAACCTGGTATGATTTTATTTTTACCGTATAATCCATTATGGTTTAGTATTTTATCATATAACTCCCTCATAATTTTCATAATATATGCGTAACCCCCTATGGATAATAAATAATTTTTAACTTTACATAGGGGTATTTTTGACATTTTAGTTGACTCCATTATAGAATGCAAATTCCATTATTTTGATACTTTAATCTAAACTATAAGGAGGTTATATATAGCTTTTGAAATCATAGAAAGGTTATGTGCAAAAGTGCTAAACCACAGGGGTAAAGTGTATTTTGCCGTAATATAAAAAGAAAAAAGAGTTTTTGTCTTTTAGACATTCGTTAGTACATCTAACATTCACTTAACCTAGCAGATATGTGCACCAACTAACAATTATTATCCTCCCTTATATTTATATACTTTTTCAATTTAATCTTACCTATCATCAATTGTATTTATTTACTTTCTCTAATTAATTTTATATTTTCAAAAATATAACATTTGAAATATATTTTAATGAGTACCATAGGGCATCTGTTAGACAAACTGATAAAAAAAGTATCTCTTAATTCTCATGGAGAATGGCATTCAGGTTTTGTCATCATATATCTAAAAGAAATCATTATTCGAAGGGAAGCTAACAAAGTTGCTGATGCGTTGTCCAATGTGGGCGTATCTCATCTAGAGCATCAAGTCAAGCTTTAAGAGGCCTTTAATTCGTTCCCAACTATGGCTCGTGGAGCCATTTGACTTAATAGATTAGGAATGCCTTCAATTCGGAAAAGTAGGCATATGAAGGGCTGAGAACAAAGGACAATTGGAGCTAGTTTGCGGTTGAATGGGACATGGAGGTTTTTGTTTTCGATTTATTACCTTTTTAGTCGACTGTTGTACTTCGAATTGGTCTTTCTCAGTGTGTAAAATTTGCTCCTATCAATAAAAGTGTTAAAAGTTTGATCAAAAAAAAAAAGTGCGTCAACTTTCACTAGGCTTCGTTTCGATTCTGAAGTACTACTGCCATATTAGAGGTTGGTCCAATTTGTGTTGGTTAGTTTTGACACGGGATTCCGAAATGTTGTGGGACATACTTACGTTACTAAATGGGACAAAGTACCTACGTAACCATCAACTTTACTTTTTTTTTTCGGAAACGATAGAGATTTTATTGCTCATAAAAGGATAATACAATATATGAGTAAGAGCTCAATTTGGACTTTACAAAAGTGTACCAAAATTTCTATGATGCTTCGTATAATAGCTTACTTAGGACCAATTAAGCCATCATAGGCCACTAATGGTGGACTGGCTACCTTCTGAGTCCTAGTTTACTTTATTGCGTTTGCCGCAAAAGAAGACTGAAAGTCTTAATCAAACATTGAAATTGCATGATTAAACGATGCTAGCAAAACATCATGACCAGCAATCTCAATTCCACTAGTTCTAACTGAAGCAGAACCTTTGCATTCAAGCTTCATAACACTTCAAGAATGCCTTTAGAGTTTAAAAGTAAGGGTTATTAGAAATATGCTCTTTTGGGCTCATTTGGCATCATGTGCATCGGTTCCTTGTTCAATTCAACAATCTTTCAAAAGATAGATTTGAGTTGTGCGGCAGTAGAATTAAGTTGACTCGAAAATGAATGGTTGAACCATTATTTTTTGAGTAGGATGCACCTTCAGGCTGTCAAACAGAAAGAAGAGGAGGTGCGGCTGGTGGAGATTCATCTAGAGAAGGAGGATTCAGAGGAAGCTCGGGCAAAGCTACATCTCGCACAAGCCCAGTTGCGGTCTTCTTTGCGTGTGGAGGAGCTTTTTTGGAAACAAAAGGCTCGTAGTAAGTGGCTGCAAGAGGGAGACAGGAATACTAAGTTTTTCCATTCTACGGTGAAACAACGGAGGGTGCAATCAGTTATTCATAGGATTAAGAATGTACGGGGGAATGGGTTGAGTCAGAGAAGGATATAGGAGCAGAGGCGGTGCGTTTCTTCGAGCAGTTGTTTAGCGCCCCACAGGTGATGTCGTCTCCGGACTTGCTTAAGCATCTTTCGAGGGTATTGACATCTGGGGACATTGAAGCATTAGAACAGGTCCCGTCTCCTGAGGAGATTCGGCGGGTGGTGTTTGAGATGGATGGGGATAGTGCGGCGGGTCCGGATGGTTACACGGGGAGATTCTTTACGTCGGCATGGCCAATTGTGGGCGATGATGTGGGCAAGGCTATAGGTAGTTTCTTCTGTGGTGCTGAGTTGCCTAGGGCAATCACTGCGACTTCCATTGTCCTCATCCCGAAAATTGCTCATCCCCAGGACTTTTCGCAGTTCAGACCGATTAGTTTGTGCAACTTCGTGAATAAAGTGATTTCAAGAATTCTAGCTGACCGATTAGCTACGGTTCTACGAGGCTCATTTCCCCACAGCAAAGTGGGTTCGTGCGGGGGCGGCTTATATCGGAAAATTTCTTGCTGGCACAGGAACTTATGTCTAGTATGGGCAAGGTGTCTGGGAGGGGTAAAGTGGCTCTCAAGCTTGATATGTCTAAGGCGTACGATCGGGTTTCGTGGGTGTTTTTAACTCAGGTATTGCGGAAATTTGGATTTGGCGAACGGTGGATCGACATGGTCTGGAGGCTGGTCTCAAATGTCTGGTTTTCTGTCTTAGTGAATGGGGCTGGTGTGGGCTTCTTCAAGGCTTCACGGGACTCTGCCAAGGGGACCCGCTGTCCCAGGTTTATTCATTCTGGGTACGGAGGTGTTGTCCCGGTCTCTGAACAAATTGTTGGACAATTGGGATTTTAAGTGTTTTTCGGTTCCTCGGGGTTGCCCTAAGATTACTCATCTCTGTTATGCTGATGATGTCATCATCTTTTCAAGTGCTTGTCCTACCTCGTTGCAGTGCATCATGCGGACGATTAGAGGGTATGAGGAAGTGTCGGGCCAGCAGATTAATGTTCAAAAGAGTGGATTCTTGGTACATGATAAGTTGCCGGCTCAGTGTGTGGCTAGGGTGCGGCGGGCTACGGGATTTACAGCTAAGGCATTCCCGGTTCGGTACTTGGGATGCCCGCTATTTGTTGGGCGGCGGAAGAGTGGGTATTTTATGGAATTAGTGCAATCAGTGGTTAATAAGATCTCAACCTGGAGGGCTAGATGTCTTTCCGTTGGGGTCGCATTATTCTCATTAAGCATGTCCTATCCGCAATGCCGGTTCATTTGTTGATGGCCGCGTGCCCCCGAAAGGTGTCTTGGCTATGGCTGAACGAGCTATGGCAAATTTCCTATGGGGGGAGAGGGAGAATGGTTTCCGATATCATTGGGTAAAGTGGAAGGATCTGTGCGTCAATAAGTCGCAGGGGGACTTAGGTGTGCATTCATTATCAGAGGTGTGCACTGCATTCTCCTTCAAATTATGGTGGAGGTTCCGTACGAGTGACTGTTTATGGGCCACGTTTTTGCGTGCTAAGTACTGTCGTCAAAATCACCCGTGCATGGTGGAGGCTCCCCCGGGCAACTCATATGTGTGGCACCGTATGCTAAAAGTTCGGGATATGGCAGAACAAAACCTTTGTTGGTAGGTACGGGCGGGACATTGTAATTTCTGGTTCGATAACTGGTTAGGTTCTGGCCCATTGAGTCAGCGAGTGGAGAGTGTATCGGATCATGCGGTACTGGATTTCGTAGTGGATGGACGGTGGGATCAAACTAGGTTGTGACAGTGGGTCCCGGAGACTATTGCTGCCGAAATTCTCAGGAATCCCGTCTCGGCGTGAAAGGGGCTAGATAGTGCATATTGGTGTTTGACGAAGGCTGGGGATTTTTCGTTGGCTTCGACATATCTCTTATTGAGTGACCAACGACCGGCTTCGTTCATGTTTGATAGGATTTGGCATTCTTGGTTGCCTGTCAAAATATCCTTTTTCATGATGCGCGTGTTGCGGAGTCGGTTGCCTCTAGCGTCTGCATTAGGGAGACTAAACGTGCACGGTTCTTCAAAGTGTTTTTGTTGTATCGACTCCCAGTCCGAATCGTTGAAGCATATCTTCTCAGACGGTGATCTCGCACGATTCCTTTGGGCATTCTTTAGTGATGTGGTTGGGGTGGCACACCGAGGGACAGGGGTACGTGCCAGGCTGGCGGTTGGTGGTGTATGTCGACACGTCACTCGCGGTTGGAGTCACTTCATACGGTGCTGCCTAGTATCATTTGTTGGAATATTTGGCTGGTGCGGAATTTAGCCCACTTTGAAGGACGCTTTCTGCATAGGCAGACTATTTGTGATCGTATCATAGCGGATTTAGTCGAGCTAGTTGGAATGGGAGGGATGGGAGAGCCGGATAGCGGCCTCCTAAAAACGGTGTCCTAGTTTTTATTCTACTATATCTGGATGGCGGCCTCGATACTCCCATAGGCTGGTCTTTTGGGAACTGCCATTGGAGGGGACCTACAAGTTAAATACAGATGGGTGTTCATTAGGCAACCCGAGGCCTAGTAGAGGGGGTGGTGTCCTTCGGGACTCCGCTGGTGATTTAGTTTTTGGTTTTTCCATTTCCCTAGGGGGGATGTCAAGTTTGCAAGCTGAAACCAAGGCGTTGTTATAGGTGGGGGCCCTCAGGTTACAGGTGGAGGTGGACTCTCTATTGCTAGTTAACATTCTGCGGGGCAAGTCGAGGTGCCCATGGCTAATTCGTTCTGATATAGAGACAATCCAGGCGTTGTTTGGATCGGCTTGGACGGTAGGTCACTGTTTTCAAGAGGCGAACCAGGTGGCGGACATTTTATCCAAGTTGGGGGCGCAGGGGTCTTCAAGGGTCACGTACTCCTCGCTGACGGAGTTGCCTCGTTCTGCCAGGGGGGCTTTGGGGTTGGATAAAGTAGGCTGCCCTTTTATTCGCATAAGGTTTGTGCGCAATTGATTGCATTTGTAGGCATTCTTTCAGATTTTACTAATAACACTCGGGGGTGGCGTCCCTCCCCGTAAACGGGGTTAGCCACAAAAAAAAGTGTGAAGAAAATAGTATTTAGAATGATTTTTTGTTGAGAGAAGTGTATGTATAAATTCTCCAAAGAATTTCACTATTTATAAGCTACAAAACCTTAAGAAAAAGGGTTGAAAATGTGTAACGGTTTTTCCATATTAAATTGTAGTCAATTAGTAGAATTTGTAACCTAAAAAATTAATCCACATTTGAATGGATTATAAATCCAACTCCCAAATAAATTATTATAACTCCTTGTAATGAAACTCCCACAATTATAATTCAAATAACTTCCAAATAAATTATTATAACTCCTTGTAAAGATTTGGTCAAGGAAAAAATTAAGATTTTATTAAAATACACCAACATTCCCCACTTATTTTAATAAAATTTGAGAAGAATAAAGATTTGGACAAAGTGAGAACATCATGCATAATGAAAGTGGCATTGCCTTGAAACCTTCATTTAGTGTTTCCATAATCTCCATATTAGAGTCAAAGTGGACTATAGCCTTGAAACTAAGACTACTTCAAGATACGTAAGATTATGTCACACACATGATATTCAAGATATTAATTAACAAGCTTCTTAAGCTAGCACATTACGGCCTTGTGCTTTATCCCAGATTCATGAGTGCTTTAGAGAATTAGCCAAATTCTCATAGGAAGCGGCCTTTACTTCCACACTCATATAGGTGAGTCTATCAAGAATACCCCTATGACTAAGGCATTCCACCCATAAAGGGCTATAGAACTCATTAAAAGATTTATATCAAATCTTAACCTTTCCTTCGTCATAGAATCACGAGCATGCTCTACACCATGGGAAGGGATTTAACAACTTTATAATATATGCATGCTTTTCACCCAAACCATTCTATGATTCGTTTGTCTCTGACCTAGTTCTTGGGATCTCCAGTCCTTAGGTAGTTGTATCCTCATAGATGGTTCCAATTTTAAATTTTAGCTTCAAGTCCCATTCCCCTTGATATGTATCATATCTTTGACTCAAGCTTGAGATTTTACACAATAAAATAGCAAAGATATGATATCCCTGAATTTATTTTAAAATAATTTCTCCTAGTGGTTCTGATATATTGAACCAATCTTTCGTGAGAATATTTCTCATCCATTTATATTTGCCAAATAATATAGGCATATATTTGCTCACATTCAATTTTTCAATTTTATCTCAATGGGCAGTAATCTAGTAGTGCACTAGAAGCCATTCTCAAAATCTTCATGGTTAATTTTGTTTTTGCAAAAAAATACCAAGAAAATATTTTGAATACTTTCACATCAGATCATACTTTTTAGTGAGTGCTAGTCTGCACAGCTCAAAATAAGAGTCAAAATAAATCCAAAAGTTATACTCATAAATTGAGTAATAAAATGATATCACCTTTATTTTTTTTTCACCACTTCTATTACCATCGTGTTTCTAACACCTTGGCATTACGCATCATTTATTGGTCACCACTAATCTGCACACTCAAACCAAGGAATAAGAAACTTATAATATAATTCTCAAGATAATCTCACAATCAAATTTCAAAGTCTGTGTCAAGATGGTAAAATAAATGCATATAGCATTTAAAAGTCACGTTCTATATTAGCCATTGGATTTAGACACCCCCACTATTTATCATAACCAATCCATATCAAGTGCTTGGAGTACTGTTCAGTAGCTTTTAACTATCACCAAAATTAACAACCTCCCAAGTTTAAACTTTTTCAACAAACTAGAAGAAATTGTAAAATAGTACTTACTAATTTAAGACTAAAAATAGAGATAACAATTACAATTTTAGGCAACATTACCTTGTGCAAAATCACGGGGAGTATATGCCACAAAACAATCTAATAAAAGATGAAATTTATATTGATAACTAATAAAGCACCGTATATTTGCATATAGAATACATTTGACATTTTTTTTTTATAAACACATAGTGGTAAAGCATTAGCAAATGATTCATTCAATTCTGCAGATACTATTTAGATATTTATCTGCATAGTATTTCAAATTACACAGTTGTTCTTCAACGTGTCATAGTCATGCACTCAATTGAAGAATGCAATGTTATCATGTAATTACATACCCCACTGTTTTTAATAATTATTCATTCAAGACTACTCATGGAGTTCATATGTTAAGATAGTACAAAAATAGTGTTCTAGGTACTCAAAATGATATACACTCAAAGTAGTACATAAGCATAAAAGCCATCTTATTGGGTACAAATCACACATTAACATCAACCAGAAACTTGACTTTTTTTTTTTTTTAAACACACACACATTCAGCAACTAAATAGCTGCAAAGTCATTCATATATTTTGAGATCATCATTGTTTAAAATGAGGCTGTCTACAGACTTGGAAATTGAACTTGACTCCAAGTTATACATGCATCGTGTTTAGTGTATCTCGACTGCAGTTGAATTCAAGTTGATGGCCAACTGGTTTACAATTGTTTGAACTATAATGTCATAAGACTTGTACTTTTGTATAGCAATGTTTTCTTTTGCAATCACGTTGAAAACCGAAACCAAGAAAATACTCATATACAAGTCTTTTAGGCATACTTCAAAACTATGAGATCGTACACATTAAAGTAATAAACTTTTAAATTTGAATGCAATTGGGCAATTATAAAATGCATTGCATTCTTTAGTCAATTACTTATTCTTAAAACCTCATCACTAGATTTCATGTGCATAGATAAACAGCACACATCTAAAATTACTTAGCAATTTCACAACCAGTTCAAAAACTTTGAATATAAAGTTTTTTTTTTAAAAAAAATAGGAGCAAGTAGAATG